TTTATTTATTGTGACTTGAACACTATTTTTGCTTACATAGCTGAAAGTGCACTAATCTAACACTCATAAGGTTTTACTATATCAGATTGACAAACGTTTACCAACGCCCTGTAGGTACTGTTCTTTACAGCCTCTCCAACCCCGGTATTTTTACCATAAAAACGGTAACCTGACCAAAAAAACAGCCACAAAACAATTACAATTGTTAAAAAAACAGTGTTCAGTATTTTGCAATAATTTTTTGTGGACTGATTTAATAACTTCAGTAAAGGCATCTCCACCAATAAACCCATATTCAAAACCACCTACCTACAACTAAGGAAGGAGCCAAAGTGTAAGAAGTTCCAGTCTGAGGGGCGTACAAGTTCAGCTTAGCCAGCTCTTTGTGTTAGCAGATTTGATCAACACTAAAACTAAGAAATGACCATGGTGCTTACAGAGGCTTTCATTGTTGGACTGTGTGTGTGTGTGCGCAGCTAAAGAGAGTGTTTGATAAATCATCAGCCAACTCTGATGCTGCAGGCGAGTCGGTAGAGTAATGTTGCAGTTGGTAATCATGTGAATTTAAAAAATGTGTATTTTTTTAGTGCTATCAGCGTTAATCTTGTTAAAATGACGAGCTGACCGCGTCGACGCCGTGCAGCCCCACGCACAGGGCGATCCGCGCTAACTCGCTAACAGAGATTTGTCACATTAATGTGGTTATGGCGTTAACGTCATTTTAACAAGATTAAGGCTGACGGTATTTTTCCAGTTGGTGCTGCAGTGTTGTGGCAATTACACATTAAGGAGCGTCTGAACAAAAAGCAATTCGCTTCTGGCGCATTTCTTTATAATGATGATATTTGCAGGCGGGCATTCAGGCTGTGGTTGCCTAGGAAACTATCCCGGGTTATTAATACCTCTGTCATTTGTGGGTCAGTGACAACCTTTGCTCGTGTTGTTTGTGTGTAGCTTTGTTTTGGAGTTAGATTAAGAGAAAACAGAGAGGACTAACCAAACTTGGTATCATACCAAAAAACAGGATTGTGAGTTTGGAATTATTAAATTTTGCATATTCCTCCACTTTACATTGTCAGGTTCTCTTGGCATACATTCTTTATATAGTCCAGTCTTTGGTGTTCGCACTCAAAAGCAAGATAGTGTAGTTCATTTCTTAAGCCACCAGTTTGCTAATACTCTTCAATAGCACTATAAATATCTTGGCCGTGTTTCTCACATTTATCCCTGTTGTATTTAAAAATTTCACAAGCTTGCTCAGGGCACCGTGAACCTGGCAGTGTGACAGCGGTGTAGTCATGGGCAGACTCGTATGTAGGGAAGTTTTTACGCTGGCTTTTTGAGTTTAAGATTAAGTAACATTCAGCACTGGTGCACCTAACTTTTTTTTTTTTTTTAAGGCGCACCAGCACAAAAGTTTGGCGACCCAAATTTTTCAACCACATCGCTTAATACCGCAGTTTTACGTGTGTACTTTTTGGGGGGGAAATTGCTGTCCGTTAGGGCTGCTTTGGCACTCTTTGGTACGTTTCTGAAACATCCACGTTGTTGTAAAACGATTGCTTCGCAGTATTTCACACTTGGAGGATAAATCAGGCTCATTAAAACTGACCTGCTCATGTTGTTGAGGCTTACTTGCTGTAATGACCTCTTTCCAGTGGATTTCTGCTTCACAGAGGAAAAAAAGCACAAGCTCCCACCTGCCTGATCATGCTATGATCAGGCAGGTGGGAGCTTGTGCTTTTTTTCTCAATAAGCAGCGGTATCTCTGAATCAATCGGCATCTTTGTTATGCACTCGTCTTTATTTCATGTTTGTCTTGTAAAGCTCCTTTACAAGACAAACAGTGGCATGTACTGCGCTGACTGCTAGCTGAAGTGAATAGTCTAAAATTTGTGTTGCGTTTGCCTCTGTGTGCTGCCTGTATGTCTTTTTTTGTTCTTGCTCTACGTGGACTACATACACCTGCTCCCTGTCACTTCAAAACATGCATCTCTAATCAGTGAGAGCGCCTTGGCACTATCCCTACTAGTGAAGACCATGTTGTTTCAACAGTGCTTTCCTCTCGGGTTCGTTGAACTCGGACACGCATAGAATCAACTTTTCCATGTTTTTGTTCATAGTGTGTTTGATCTTGGCGTGACTGTAGGCGCAGGAAGTAGAAAAGGATGGGTTTCAGAGCGAAGTGCTACTTTCTATGTAAAAGGGCCTTAACAGTGTGCTGTTTATCTTACATCCTTCTCTGGTAAAAGGTTTACCTTTACACAACTGCATTCTTATGCTTAAAGTAGCCAGATATATTTCTTGTACAAACTGTGGAAAGAACAAATAGTTTGTGTCCCTAGCAAAACCGTTATCAGCACAGGAAAGCCTGGTTTTGAAATATCTACAAGGCTCATTGAATGAATGTATGAATGTATGAATGTATGAATGAATGCAGAATTGTCTACAGTGACCGTAGACTCCGGACCAATCACAACGCAGAACTGTCTGCTTTAAGGATGCACTAATTTGACTTGTCTCAGATATGATACTGATGTCTCGGCTTCAAGATGTCATGTTGTTATTCATATAATTTATTTATTCATATAATTTATTTAGAGTAGCTTCATTTAAAGGTTGCTCAATGAGTTGTTGCACTGAACTAACGTCCTTCTAGCTTTCTGGCTTGTGAGACTTTCCTCTGACTGGACATAATGAAAGAAACCAAAGCTTCGTCTGACTTAGGCTGGATATTTAAGGCAACACACTATCCACCGACAGCGCTAAAGTGGAAACACGAAAGAGATTAAAGTGAACAGAAGAGAGATTCTGCTGCTGTTTGATTCTTGTGTGTCATTGATTCTGTGTCTTGTCTGCCTTTCTGCAGGTTTTTTCTGGCTCCTCAGTTTCCTGAGGGTTTGTTATGTTATTTGTCCTCTCCCAAAACCCGAGTCCAAACCAGCCGGCTTACCACACGAAAAACAAAGCACATCTGCGTGCAGTGTCTTCTTTCTGTTTGGCCTGGATGCTTTGCCAATTTCCAGATAAGGTGGATGGGAAGTGGAGATGAGGCAGATGAGATGGTGTGAGAAGACAATAGCAAATCGGAGGGGAGAAAGAGAACATTTATAAACCCAGACAACAGATGGTGAGTGAAAAAGAAACACTTGGTCCATCATGGGAAGCCCCCAGCAGCCTTGGCCTATTGCAGCATAACTAAGGGAGGATTCAGGGTCACCTGATCCAACCCTATAAGCTTTCAAAGCATAGAAAGTGCAAAGCCTAATCTTAAAAGTACAAGTGTGCTTCCGATAAAACACATGAGGAATACACTATGAAATAAGTTGTTACCTTAAGGTTTTTAATTAAATAGGCTACACAGAACAGCTGTTTTTGTGTGAAGGTCCTTTGTTTCATTATTTTGGCTGCTGTAGAGCTGGAATGTACCAGCTTGTGGGATAAAGTGTGTTTTCTCTTCCCCACAGCCTGCGATGTTGCCGCGGCAGCATCAGACAGTTGGAAAGAAACAGACTCCATGTGGACGGAGGGCAGATGTCCTTCTGCCCAGCTAGAGAACACCAGGATGAATTCCTCAGACTCGGTATCTGACCTTGTGCTAGCGTGGCGGGCCCCGAGTTCCTTCTGATGCTGAACAGTGTCCAGCCTTAAATGACCACAACGTGTAGGTGACAGACTCCCTCGTGTTCCTCAGATCTGGATCACTGGCATATTTTTTTTTTTTTAAGCATATCTTAGTGCTGTTTAAGTTTTGTTCATGCACATTTCAAGGTATTTTACTTGGTATTTTAATGTTATTCTAGGAATACTGCCTCGGTATCTTACTAAATATAATAATGCGACTTTTTCTTCATAATTGAGCGGTGCCTACTTCAATAAAGTGCGTTGTCAAGAATAGGTTATCTATATAAAAACCGGTGCTACAAATAAGATCTGGGTCTGACTCGCTCCCTGATGGAGACAACTTAGAATTATGTTGCCAAATAAAACTCATTTTGATTGAATATTCTCATTCTTGTTGATTCTGTTGGCTTTTATATGACCTACTTTATCCTGGTTAAACCTTAAAGCTGATCTATTTCTGTAGTACACCGCTCCACTCTGAGCTGCATTATTAAAAAATGAGGGTCACGTTTACACTCAAGACACCGAAGAGTGAACGGTGAAGTCAGAATGATGGAACAATAAAGTTTGAATTCAAGTTTGTTTTTTATTTTGTAAGAACAAAATTCTCTGCGCACCAGACACGAAGACGCAGACCTAAACAGACAAATTAAAATAACAAAAAAAAAAAAAAAAAAAATTTGATAAAAGTTGCAAAAGACAGCTTTTACAAAACCATGTTGTCCACTGCCACTGAACAACCCGAGCTTAGAACAATCTTTTAAATGTTCTATGTCAGGTTCCTGTATGATACAAAAAAAGTAAAAAGGACAACTTAATATTGAAGACACACAAAAACTGATACTCTAATGCCAACTTGTTCTCACTCTCAGGGTTACAAATACAGCTGTTATGTCAGAAGATAAGCGTCCAATGACATCTTGAGGCTTCTAACAAAAACGGCAGTAATTGAGGGGCTGGGGTGAAAACATGTTGATGCCACACATCTGGGGGATAAATATCAAAAGTTTAAATGCTTGTTAGCATTAGTTAAGCTTAATATATCAAATACACAGAATCACAACTGCATTGTGAGAGGTTACAATACATGACTGTTGAAAATCTGTTTCTCCCCCGTGGTGTGCCGCAAGCAGTTATGGTCTAAGTACACGTGAACATGGGAATGCAGGACCAATCTTCAGCTTCCTCGATACAAAAGAGCGCTCAGTTGGCGTGCTGAACAGTGGAGAAGCACAGTTTGAGGGTGTACGGGTAGGGACCGGCTACAGAGAGACGAGAGAGTCAGCGTTAGCTCAACCCAAAGAAACAAAAACAAACCATATACAAAATTCCTGCAATGAGCCTCCCAACTGAACTGAATGTGTGCTTTAACAAGTGTGTAGGTGAAGCATGGTCAGCTCCTTAGAGTTAACTAACTCTTAACCTGACAACTGCTTACTGTGTATAATTTTAAAAAAAGGATACTTGAGAGCATCATTGAAAACTTACTTGGATTTTTCATTTGGTAGTGGTTTATCATGGCCAGAGCTTCCATAGCATCGTTGATCGACTCCCACTCTAACAGACCTGAAGCACTGCGATCACTGGGAGCTGCTCCGCCTGGTGGGCACAGATGCAGAAATGTGATGAGACGTTAGATTTTATTCAGATTCAGTCATCGTTTTAAATATTTATCGGGTGCATCTGCCAGTCTTCTTAAAGCTCACTGGCATAACTCAAATAAGAGGAGGCGGGTGTAAAGCAGCGTACTTTTTCCTGTGAACATTTTGACATTAACAGGAGCCTTGACACCGATCTCGTCACAAATCTGTAAGAAGACAAACATCGTTAGGGTCTGCAGGTGCAACACTTGTGATAGTCACAGTTTGTAGGAGGAACTGTGCACATGCAGCCCAAGGATTCAGACCTGAGAGAAGATCTCCGGCGTGGCTTCTGGCTGAGCGTTGAAGAAGTGCAGCACGTTGCTCGGGTGCTGGATGCGGTTTTTAGCTGCTTGTTCTGGGGAGGTGAACCGGTTGTTCCTGGAGCCATGGAATTCCTTGAAGCTGCTTGTGCCATCTTCCAGCTCGTAGCATTGACCAGGAACGATGGCTTGCTGCTTGGATACGCTGCAGGGAATAGGAGGGGGGAGGGGGATCAGCCTTTTAAAATCATTTATGGCTCTTACCATTTAAGTCTCCAAAACTCAGCAGCTTCAGAAGCTCAGGCATAAACCAGTGGGTGATGTGTCCATGTTTTGTGATGACGTTTCCACAGCCTTTACTTTGGACTAAAACAGTGTGTCAACCTTTGTGTGATTCAAGTCTTTAAAGTGAAACTAACATCAGCCACTCTGCTGCCCGTAGACTTCTTGTTTGTGATTGGTCAGATGTTTTCAACTCCAACTGCTATCCAGATGATCGATTAGAGAATCCGGGGCAAACGGCTATCAGTTAACACTGGGGCGAGTGAAACTGTTGTGTGTGACTAGAAGCTGCTTTGTTCGGGCTCAGATGGTCCTGGAGCGATTTCGTCAGTCTGACACTTGTAGATTAAACTGTTCAAGTTTAACTCACCACACATTCAGTTTCTGTCCAAACAGGAAGTTGTTGTTGAGGTGAGTGATTGCACGGTCCACAGCGTAGCAGTCTCCCATCTCCACCATGGCTGCTCCGGGCTTACTCTTCATGAACTTCACCTGGAAGGGTTCAAAGACAGGATTGACTGGTGCTCTGCTATTTGCCTTTCGCTTTGACCTAAACACAGAATCAATTTGCTCTCTTGACTTGTGTGCGTGCTGATGGACTGGAACACAAGTGTGGCATTGTTGAGGTGGAAAATATTGACTCCGTTTCAGCCATGATAACACTTCCTGCTTACATTCCTTTGTTTCACTCTCAGTGTGAAATTTTGCTCGCTGGTAACTTCATCCTGCTCGCTGAGCTTTTATATCCAAACAGGAGTTAGAAAAACAAATGTGAGACACCTCCTGGGTCATTGTTAAATGTTCATGTCAGTGCATTTACTTCTGAAGGAATATACATTAACTGCATAAAAAGATTGAGACCGTTATGCAAGTTTAAGTAGCAAATCTGGACACAGCATCTGTACCAGTTACCATTTAAAATCATGAGCCTGTGCTGGTCCGACGCAGGGTTTACATTTTCCTGTGTTCATTATTTTAAATGTTTGCATTAACTTAACGTTCACCTAAGTAATCTCACTTCAGGTTTTACTGTTCAAAGGTGCCATATTAGGTTTAAGTCATAATATAGAGTTACAGGGTTTTGTAAGTTCATATTAATTACTACAGCACACATGAAGACCCACAGGCACAACATCCCAGGGACGTAGACACGCACCAAAATCATCTTTTATTAGACCTGTGTTCTTTCTAATGGTCAGCAGAGGTCTGACTGCTGAAGACTTCTGGTCCTAAACAATAAGAAAACATCCATCAGCTCCGAACTCTGACATCATCCACCGATGTCGTTAAAATAAAGACCATAGCCTGACATAAAAGACTGATGTCTTTTATAAAAGACCCACTTTCACCGTAGCTCTTTCAAACCAGGACAGTTCTGACCAACTGTGGGAGCGTGAACATACCCATGATTATCAATACAGTACTTAGAACTCATGATTTAACCCACAGTATAAACAGGAAAGTGTTTACTGAGCTCAAGGGAGATGAAGGATGTTTTCACATACACCAAACACAATCAATGATTGATGATTTACACTGCAGCAGCTCAACCATCAGCTTCGCAGCTAAAAAACAGGCACTGACCCGCTCTACGTTCCCATAGAGACAGAAGATGTTGAAGACGCGGTCGGCGTTCATCTTGACAGGGTCCAACCCGTACACCATGACAACCGGCGAATCAGCATGTGCGCCGTACTCGCCAGGAGGAGGGGGAGGAGGTCCGTAGCCTGGACCATAGCTTCTCCCTCCACGCCCTCTCATTGGTGGACCCATACGGCGACCTTCGTAGGGCGGGGATCCGTAGCTTTCATCGTAACCATGGTAACCGCCTCCTGAAGAACGAGGCAGAAATCAGGAAAGTGAGAAAACGTGAAAATAACCCCAGTAATCAAGCAGGGTGAGGTGAATACTGAAATCTGTAGAGCCAATTACATAGGACACAGCACCACCTCACTGCCACTGTGTGGAGGACCCAATTTACACAATCGTCTTAACTTGAACGTACCAAGTTTAAAATGACTGTTGACTCATATTGGATGTAGATAGTTTGGATTATTAAAGTTTAAACCTCAGTTTCCCCAGTTTAGGGCTAATAAACCTAGTCTTAAACTAGATCTCGACTGAATCCTTCTTTCAGTCTGGGACTAGGATTAATCCACATACAGAGGAGATTAGCTCAGCATGTTGTGTTTCAGTGGGTTCTCTTGTTCCCCAGGGGCGTGAGAGCCTTACCGTACTCTGGAGGGTGATCGCCCAGCAGAGCAGGCTGTCTCTGGCGCTTGTTAGGGTTGGCATTCACATCGTCTATAAGAACAGGAAGACAAAAGGAAAGAAGAAAAGGATAGAGAAAGAAAAAAAAAGGTGATAAATATAACAAGAACAGTCTGGAAACAGAACTGTAATCTCTACATGACAATGGGATGCTTGAGCACAAAATATGTATTATGGTAAACTGACATTTTGATGCCAAAGGTGCATCAGAGTGCACACCAAAGCGTCTAATCTGTCAGAGGAACAATTACAAAAACAAAAAAAGAAACTAATCAGAGTACTTAAGAGAAACGCATGCATTTAAAGATTGATGCATCTGGCTCTCACAGGCCAGATGCATCGGGCCTGCGAGAGCCGCTCAGATTACAGATTACACTCCAAACATCTCAACCATCTCAGCAACTGCCCCTTTTGGTCTTGAGTGATTGTAAAGGAATGGTGGGGAGGGCAAGGACGTGTAATGAATGACAAAGACAGAATTAGGGTCTAAGGAAATAACCCCAAAACCCCTTTAACTCAAAAACATCCACAATGCTAAACCCCTTAGCATGTAAAGTGGAACAGGAGTAAATGGCAAGGATGAGGTGGATGCTGATGATCTCAGAGGTGAAGAGGGTAAGGGTATCAAACAAAGTCAGTCTGGATAAGTATGACAAATGGCTAAATTAAAAAAAAAAAAAAAAGTTTGTACGCTCACACACACCTGCATTGCTCCCATTGCCATCTGCATCACCATCTGTACAGGTACACAATAATCATACACAATCAGAAGGGAAGCCAGGTTAATCATGGTTACATCTTAACTCAAGTGAAGTTACCCGAGGTAAGTGTGGAGAGTGCATTAAGACCACTCGTAAATGATAAGGCTTTCTGTCCTCAGTGGGGAAGAGTTTTATAAGAAATGCAAGCTTGGTACCTTTGCAGGTGACAAATTTAGACTCTCCTAGCTTTACCAGGTGTGTGCCGCTTTGTAATTAGCAGGGTTGGTCACAGACAGACTAAATAAAAGAAGGACGTAACCACCATTGGTTTGCGAAGCCTTGTTAGGAAGTTTCAGGATGAGTTCTGAAACCACACGAAACGAGAGAACCCGAAGGGCACCGCTCACTCTTTGGCTAACAACTTGTGACTCACAAGCAAATAGCCAATAGGACACCCTGGAAAACCTTATTGTGTCCATAGTTTATTTGGTAAACTTAATGCGTTACTCGGTGAGAACATAAACCAATCAGGAAAGTGTTAAATGAGGTCACAGAATGGAGCTAAGGACCAGTTTTCCATAGACACAGCTGCAAGTCTTTTTGCCCCCTGCCGCCCATTTAGAAGAAACTTTTCAGCGTTGGTAGCTACGCCCATCTTTTATGCCATCTGTTGTCAAGCACATCCGACACGAGCCCATTAAGTTCACACCCAAACTCCAGATTAAAACATGATTTATTTCCCAAAGAAACTAGCACAGCTCCAGGGAAGATGGATGAGATTACTGATGGCTGTAAACTGCCAACAGAGGGAGCAACAACACAGCTTACAGACATACAGAGAGCAGGTTTGACATTAGAAAACAGAACCACAGCCTCTTCCAGAAAGAGAGATTAAGCCTGTGTGAGGGGAAGGAAAAAAATAATTTAAAAAGAATGGAGTCATGTCTGTCTTGTGTGGCGATGTTGGTAGCTGGGCTTTGGGGTCATGTGGTGCTGTGCAGTTATGTTCCTTGAGAACAGGTCTCGATTTACTTACTGCAAGTTTACAAACAGTGGGAGGAAGACATTTGCTGCGGCAGTTCCACCACTCTCCACTCAACTCATTTCATCCCAAACTCTTATCCATTTCCTCTTTTTGGGGAGGGGGGGGCAAGTCTCCACCTCAGGATCGATTTCCTGGTTTAGCAAGCTGAAACGCCCACTGGTAGGTGGGGAGCTTGGTTGGCGTTTCCATCCTTTTTGTTGCGTTTTGGAAAGGTAGGACTTGAAGCTGCCATAGAGCACATTTCAGTGGGGGGGAAGCTGGCTCCTCTTAGCCGCAAATTGCCAAACCTGCATCACATGGAAGGTGTTACACAGGTTCTAGAGACTTAAATATATTTAAAGAAAAAAAAAGGAGAAAGAAGCTAAACAGGGATGCAAGTAGTAAGAAAATCAGAGGGAGAAAGAGGAGAAAGAGCGAGAGAGAAAAGCTGAACTCCATGTGAGGGAGGGACACAGTGGATGGTCTGACTGGACTCTGAGTGTGCTGATGGTGTTGTCAGCAGTGTCTTGTCTTCATCAGTTGTCTTGTGTTGACTCCAATGTGAGTGGAAATGTCTTGATTCGAGGGTGTGAGGTGGATCAGTCGGTACGGCATCAGTGTGCTGCGTTCGTGTCGCAAAGCGTGACGAGCAGTTTAGCTCGAGGCTTTAAAAAAAATGTGATCTTGACTGATTGTTATCAGTATGCATCGTCTGCTGTGGTGAAAGATGCCTGTCACTAGCTTCTGACTGGGTGGGTGGTGCTGTGTCTTCTCTGGTGTCAGTCTTCGTTTGGTGTAGACAATGGGAGCACTGTAGCTGCTTGTGTCTCAAAGTGACGAAGAAGGGGGAAAACGGAGGGGAGGGACCGAGTGTAGCTCAGTACCAAAACTCCCCACACTCTACAAATGTCTCCATGGATCTTGTGCAAGAATGCAGAGATGACGATTGAGTGGTGTATCAGTCCTACATCGGCGTGTTGGATGGATGGTATCTCAGAGGACATTTGGCCCTCTGTGTGATAGTGGTAGTGTCCTCCCTGAAGAAGTGGATGCTTGAGATGGTGGTCGCTGAGTGTTGATGTCAGCGTGTATCTGCACAAAGCTTCTGTGCATAGTTGGTTTTTTTTTGAAAGTCACCCATTACAGATAGCCAGTCAACTGATGCTGGTCCAACACCTCTGTTCTCAGCCAAAATTAAATGTAATAAAATACAGAAGCAAACTTCAACTGAAGCACATTTGGCTTTTTACACCCGATTACCGACTCCCCCCCCCCCCAAACATGTTTTGTCAACCGAAATGTAAATTTTAAGGTGTAATTAAAAACAGTGGGAAAGACCAGCATTAGTCTTGGTGGCAAACACATGTTTTTCAGTTAAGTGACTTTAAAGGTACCTTTTGTAATTGCCCTCTGCAGGCAGGAGGGCAACACTTAAAACCTTCAGATGCTTAACCTTAATTAGAAAAAAACAACAAAAAAAAACAAGCTTTTTTTTTTAAAAACTACAATTGTAAATAACTGTTCGCCTGGTTTAACAATGGTTAGGTTAAGTCACTGTACCTCGGGGTAGAAAGTGGCATTACACAAGAGTACAGCCCAACCATAGACCAACTTCAGTTGTACAAAAAAGTACCTTTAAAGTCAAAGTTTAACCACACTTTGAAAAGAAAAAAAAAAGTAATAGTACTAACAGATATCCAAAAACAATCCTGCAAAAATGTGCCATGAGAAGGGCAGGAACAGCAAATGCCAGCAGAAAGAAAATGTGCACATAGCAGGTTAGCTTCTCTGTGACTGAACTGATTCAAGAGGACATTTAATGAGAAATAATAGAGCAGCCAATGCTCAGTCAGTGTGACCATACAGACATGTCTCAAAACTGCGACTGGGAAAAATAAACCTTAGTCTTCTCTACTTTAAGTTACACGAAGAATATCAGAATGTCTTATTTAAATTTTAAAAAATAAATACAAATAACAGTATAAAGGAGTAAATACTGTTGCTTCCAGTCAGTCACACTGCTGTAATGTGAAGAAAAGGCTGTAAGACATTTCGACCTTTTATGCAGCAGAAAACAAAAACGCACTTTAACTGTCCAAGTTTGATTTAGACTTCTGCGGGAAATAGACGTCCTAACCTGTCACCTCTACCTTCCACGCCATTCAAGTCATTACATTTATCAGGACGCACACATCAGGTTACGAAGTAAGGTTAAAAGGATTTTCCATTTCCTGTTAAGCTTTGAGGCAGATTTGCTGCTGAAGCCTATTTCAGGCATTAGACTGGTCCCTGCAAACCAAGTAATTTTAACATCTTTACACAAGAAGCTAGCATAATCTTTAAGACTGAATACTAGATTTGTTTATATTATTGGTCTGAAACTGCAAAATGATTACCAACTTGAGCTTTAAAAATAATAGTAGTGGAGCAAATATTGCACATTAGCTCTAATTTAGATTAGATTTAGTTTTAATCAAGCAAGAGAAACGCCTCCACCTCCCTGCTTTTTCCCCAGCCTTATTGTTTCTGTAATGTTATAGACTTCCTTTAACGTAAAACAGCTACAAGGAAAAGAAAGAAAGAAAAACAATGTTTAACGGTGGGTTCGCTTTGCAGGTGAACTGACTGGTATATATATACACCATCACTGGCCTGGCTGTTTTTAACCCTTTATGCATTTTGTTGTTTTGCAGTATTATTTATTATAAGACACCCAACTTTAGAAAAATCAACCCATTTATTTAAATCACTCTTTGTGGAGGAGGACATATTGTTAATGTGCTGTCCCAGCATTAGGCAAACAGTCTCTCTACTGCTTTGGGGAAAAGAAAGCTGCTCTATTCTTGAAACAGTGAAAACTACTTCCTGACAGTAACTTCCGCCCGAGGTGAACTGACTTAATGAGCTGCTGGGAAACACAAACTAGGTTAGACAGGTGCCGAAGCAGGATCTACAGTCACAAGCACCACAATTTACTCATCTTAAGAGTCTGAAGGGAGGGTCACGTAACAAGTACACAAGTAAACCAGAACAACAAGATGCCACAGAAAATATTAGCCTCGCTATGTTATCTTTCTCTCTGTCTGTTCCTGCCAGTCTCTCCACTTAGCGATATGCTGGTTTGTAAAAAATAAAAAATTACAAGTTCTGCTTTTTTTTGTTTTTACTTAATGAACCTGAAAACCCAGAGAAATGTAAAGACCCAAAGTAACGCTTCAGTCATAATGCCACACTGGTTTGTTTCAAAATATGCCACATACACTTAAAAAAAAATAAAAAATGGATCCATGTTGTAGCATTATCAGTGAAGAGTGCTGCCTCCATCTGCCCAGTAGCATGCTTGCTGCAAGTCCCCACAGTGGCAGTAAGGGTGCTGAACAGTATCAGGCTTCTCAGCTACAGAGCATATGTAGCACTAAGCAAATGTCTGGGGGTGTGTGTCTGCTGCTTGAGGTTTTACCTGGGCCTCCCAGATTGGGGTTTGTGTAGTCCCAAGTGTCCTGGTCATTCTTGAACACATTCAAACGAGTTGGCTGGAATAAAATGAAGAAAAAAATTATATGAATAAACAAATCCGACTTTTAACCTGTCAAATGAAAATTAATTTTAACTGACTAGACCGGGGCTCTAAACCGGTGGCTCTTTCCCTCCAATCTACTGTGGCTTTGGCTAAAAAACTATCTAGAATCAGTTTTACTTATAACTAGCTTTCATTACATGTCATTAACTCAGAAACATTCACTTTCTAACAAAGAATTTTATTTGCAGGTGTTACCTTTGCATACTCGATCTTCAGGGTGCAGCAGCCAGAGTAGATATCTGCTCCATTGAGTGACGCCTTGGCCCTCTGGGCACTTTGAACGGAGTCAAACGTGATGGCATGGTTAAGGGCACAAGGTGTGTATTTGGACTTTTTAAATGCCACTAAAGAATGAAAAAGAAGACAGCAGACAAAAAACAAAACAAAAAAACCCCACATGCTGTTAGGCACTGTGGGTAAATTTTAAGCAACTGTAAAAACTTTTCTGATCTCCACCCTGTTTCTTATATGTTTATAAAGATACCAGCTTTCCTTTGTTTCTCACAGTTAACAAATAAGATAGCAGCCAATGAGGACTTGAAAGGATATTCAACCATTGCCTGGACGCCGTTTTTCCTGAAGATAACGATTCTCTGGACCGGCCCACAGTTGTTGCAGATAGTGTAGAGGACGTCCTGAGAACATGAAACAAAACACGTTTTATGATTAGATTTGTTATTCAAAACAATCTTAATGCAAGTTTTGACCCCCCCTTAAAAGTTTCATACTATTTAGTTATTTTTTTAAATAATCAGTTTTCTTGAAACTCCCAGATTTCCCCCCAATCTGAGCACCACCTTCTGTACAGTCTGAGAATCTGAGTTACAAAATTCTAACTGTGCAATTACCCAAAGCAGCATTAAAGTGCAACCAGCAGGTGCGAAGTCAATTCCTGAGTGTACTCCCATTCAAAAGGTTTACAACTGTAATCATAAGCTAGGTGGAGTGCAGCGATTCCCAAATGGTGGCGTTCAGAACTTACTGATGCTGTTGGTGTGTCATTAACTATATAAAAGATCCATGTTAAATTTTAAAAATTGATTAAATATGTCAATCTGAGGATGTGAACTTCTTCAGTAGGGTGAACCATATAAAGTGGATTAACATAACGCTACTCATTGTGTATTAGGGCTGGGGGTTATGGCCTAAAATCCATATCACGGTATAATTTGAAGCATGTGCGGTGACGATATATATATCGCAATATTTTCTTTTCTTCTGTATAACGTATTTTACACACTATAAGGCACACTTAAAATCCTTTAATTTTCTCAAAAATCGAGAGTGTGCCTTATGTATGTATGTATGTATGTATGTATAACATTAGCACAGTGAAGCTGAAGGATGAACGCTAACTTTTTCCACTCGATAAAAGTTAACGTGAGGGTTTCTGGTGGTTGGGGACAAATGCAATTGCATGGCAGGATGCTATAAATGGACCAAACTTCAGTCAGGAGAACAACTGAGATAATCCATCCACAATACAAGGTTAGTCATTAATATACTGCAACTACATGGGAATAGAGCAGCTGTGAGAGAATTTGGCATTAATGAATCAAAGGTAGGGAAGTGGAGGAAGCGCAGTTTTTGGCTTTCCTCATATTCCAAAAGTGCTTCGTCTCTTTGCTATTACTGTCGCCCGGCATAATTTGCAGAGGTTGTTTGCAGCCGCTGCAATGCTTTCGACCAAAACGGGCGCAGCTTGATGTCACCATCAACATGCGCTATCGCGGTAGAGCGGTATAGTCAAAATCTCTGGCCAAATTTATATGGTTTCTACCGTATACCGTTTATACCGCCCACCCCTATTGTGTATGTGTATACACTTTCACTGACAGGACGTCTACAGGCTGGTACAAGCCTGGGGCTGTATGGTGTCCATGAATGATCTAAGCAGGGATGTCTTTCTACCGTTACATCGCCAGTACCGCCACTCAATTTTCAGAGAAAAGCAGCACATTCCAACAAATGGCAAAGATATTCTGTATTTGTATGGGTTGTAGCATTTGTGGTCTCTGCTTCCCTTTTATTTCAGCCACCGACACATAACTGACATTGTTCCAAACTACCAGAGCGGCAGCCAACTTTAAACTTTTCCTGCAGTGCATAACTACTAACAACCGTTTGTGGTAAAACAACAGCACTGACATTTAAGGACACCCGTCAGCTGGTACACAAAACAGTCCCAGGCAAAGTAATGACACAAATCTTTGCACTCACCGTTGTAATAGGGTAGATGGGGTTCATGATAGTGAACAGAAGAACATTGTTAACGGTTCTCGAGTCATCAGAGTCTCCGGGCCTGGATATCTTCTGGCTGGTGGAGTAGTTGATGAACGCTGGGTGGCCGGCGATGTATACCTGGTTGTCTGCAGCATAAGTCACAGCTGTGGATGATCCATTCATGTCCTCGTACTCCACCAGCGCCTGACGCTTATTGGGCATCACCACCACATAGCTAAGACAAACAGAACACATTAGCTGGGAGTTGATAACTTTATTTATATCGCACCTTAAAAAAAAAAAAATCTTCAAAGAATGCCAAACTAAGACAATACACAAACTAAAAGCTGATAAATGAATGACATGTAAAAACCATCCTGTTGGATCTGACGAAGTAATCTGAAGGAAGTCATGAAGCTTCGAGCCTTGGTGAGGTTGTTCCAAAGTCTTCAGATATAAGCACTGACTTAAGGACCCTACCTGAGGGTCTAAAGGGATCAGCATTTCTCTATGTAGTTGAAGGCCAGAGTTGGGTTTGGTTTAAAAGCAATCATTAAAAGTCACTCAGCTGCTGCTTGTGGAAAACTTTATTCCAAGTTTTTACCTGATTGCTCCAAATTCTTGCAAGGCTTCCACGAGGTCAGCTTCTGTAACACCATCCACCAGCCCCCGGACATGGACCACCACGGATGGAAGGGTCTTGTGCGGATCTTCGTATCCCTATTAAAAACACAATTTAAAAATCAAAACAAAAAAACAACTAACTGTAGACTTCTTTATGAAGGTTTTTTTCCTGGCTCATAACAAGCATCCGTACAGTGAGAGACTTTGTAATTATGCAACTGTATAAGGACCACAAAACAATCGAGATGCGATTCTATTCAGACTTTTAGCTTTAATTCAGGATTTCAACAAATTGAACCATATTTATACAGCGCCAAATCACAACAGCAGTTACCTTGAAGAAGAAAGACAAGAAATTAACTGGATTATTCTGCATTTAAAAAAAAAAAGAAATACAATACTGGGAATTTCCCTTTTATTGGGCACCAAAATATTTGACAATCAATGAAGGAAACTCGAAACATGTCCAGTTACTTGTGCAACCTGCGGACATCGGGTCATCTATTTAAGGATTCTGACACGCTTAACGAATTTATCATGCAGAAATAATTGCGAGTGGAAGGTAAATTCCCATATGTGCATTTTTGCGGGGGGTTTTTTTGTGTTAAACCGTCCCACAAAAGATAAAATATATTTTAATACTGTAACACGCTCTCTTCCACATGGTCTAATAAAATTACACCTAGCTACACCAACAAGCTACTCAGTGAGACACTCAGGATTTCCAGTTTGTTGCACTTCTGTGCGTCCTTCTCGGACTGAATACTGGTCACTATCCCGCTTGAGTTTTGAGCAGTTGGGGGGGGGAAGGGGTGCTAATCAGGCCCACGGTTCTAATAACGTGCTTTCAATTGCATAGTTATACAGTTCCTTATAAACGTAAATAATAATAATAATAATAATAATTGGCTTGCTCAAAGTATGGACTAATGGTCAATGATCTCTACAATAAAAAGCGGGTTATTTCGTGGGGGACTAATAGCTAGCACGTTGCTAACGTTACCGGCACTAGAACAAAGCCGAGCTACGGCAAGGCCGAGGCGGAGAAACCGCCCTCCGACAGCTCCATTCAGAGGGCAAGGCACGGGCACAATACTATTTACGCCCAGAGACACATCCCGAGCAGCTGCAATCGAAACTACACAGCGTTTAAATGGAAAAACATTGTAAAACGCCCAGTTTTGTTGGACAACTATCTTCCCGGGCATGGATTTAATAACCTGCGGCGCGTCGTGACACATTTTTTCCAGCTCACATCTGAATGAATCAAACTGCACCGAGAAATGAGTTACCGAGCTGCGTATATTCACACTGTACGCTAAATTAATTCCCATTCTTCCTGAGACCAACGTACCGTGGCCATTCCGTCGGTTTTCTGTCTTTTCGTTGCCCTGCCGTCTTCGCTGTAGTAACGGTTAGCTGCAGTAGCCATGTTGTCCCGGTTAAAAAGGATGGTGGTAGTGACGACGAAGTGAAATGGACGGAAAAGTCAAGAAAAACGAGGCTTGCGTATCCACGCCCACTTTCAATACATAACGCGATATGATAGGCCCAGGCAGCTGTCAATCAGCTTGTAACTTGAGTAAGAACCAATCGGAAAAAAGAAGCGTTTAAGTCATTATTTTGAAGTTAAACGCAGCATATACCAATACAAGGCTGGTTATTTTCAAGTGACCTCAGATTATGTACTTTTACCGAACAGGCGCAGTATTATTCAGGTTTAGCATTTACAATAAAACCGTATTACTAATGATCAGATCTGATCTGAGGAGCCTCAGGTGCTACCATCTTTATGTGGTCTGAAATCATCGTTGGCTGAGTGTTACTGGTCAAAATAATGACAACTCAAAGTTTCAGAACAGAGCAACATTTTAAAGAAGCCATCCCTGTCTGTGAGGTTAGTGTTACAGGTAATTGGTGCATACCAGGGAGTAGTTTTTTGTAGCCTTTGACCCGGTTCTTGTTTTCATAAACAGGAAACATGTTTATATAACATGTGTCAATACATTTGCACTTTGGGTCTCTGAGATAACAGGAGCCAAATACTTAGCATCGACCCATACTAATGCTGGCACAGAGGTGGTGTAAACCTTTGCTGAAACATCTTTACTTTAGACACATTTCACTCTTTATTAGTATTAGTCAAATGTACAAAAATAAACTGGACACTGATGTTTGTCGAAGAGATTTATTGAAAAATAAAACTGCCACTGTCACCATATAAGCCAGGAAGAGCAGAAACTGTTGAAGGAGCCCTGTCAGAAATCCACCTGAACAACTGCATTTGTTTTAAAATCAAGTGATGGGGACAAACCAGAGGAGGAAACTCCCGCTGCACAGTGATGCTGATCTGATTTTATCACAAAGGATGTGCAACAAAAAAAAACCAAACAAACCAAAATTAAAAAAAAAATAAAAAGCAAAAACAACAGGAATGTTGCATCATATTTAAAGGCATGCAAGCTGGCAATTATCTCCCTCTGCCATCATAATCAGGAACTAAACAGATCAACCCAGGCATCAAACAACAACATTTACAAATTTTCAATGGGGAACCTTTTTTTTTTTTTTTCCTTTCCCAAGAAAAAAATGGCTTCTTGGTTCTCAGAAATTCATCCATTTACTCCACGGAGATCCTCAAATTACTGCTAAAAGTAATCTTCAACATTACCTTCTTACAAATCAGTGTTGGGGAAAAAAAGGAAAAGAAATATGGCCTACACAGCAACAGCAACATTTAAAACAATCTGTATCTAGTGGAAAATTTGTTTTTATCTGCTGTACTGATTACATCTCAAACAAGGATGCACATAGACTACAGCCCTGGGGAGAAAAACCGCACGAAACCGGGACAAGACAGACAAATTCAAAAACAACAAGAAAAAAAAGAAGTTGCTGCCAGGGTGTAAAAGCAGAGAGGGTGCAGGGGTTAAGGGTTTGTCTTAGGGACAGTGGTGGAGGGAAGGGGGGGGGCAAATAGTCGCCTTCGCTCAGTCGTCTGCTGGAGTAGGGCTTCGGTTTGGAGTTGCCGAACGGGAACGACTGAAACAGAAAGGAAGAGGAATTAGCCCGCCGCAGGGGAGGGGTGGAAGAAAGTTCGGACAGGTGTTAACATTCTTAACAACAACCCTTGACCTCTCAGGTACACTTCATGTCATCTGCCTCTAATCTTTTCAGAAATAGCTATCTATGTTCAAAAGCTAAATTCATAATTGAACCCCCAGAGCAAACGCTCATTGAAATAAATGGCAGGTCTTTGATTGACACTGTCTCATGTTTTGCTTCTAGAGCTGCTGGTTAGCAGCATTTGTGCTCTAAGAAATACAGAACTCAATCCTCCCCTTACCTACAAACACAGACAAGTTGCTTCAAATGGTAACGATGAGGCAACAAGTGAGACACAGTGAGAAAAACGTATCAGACACATCATCCCACTAATATTCATGGTGCCTGTTTGTCTTTCACTCACTCACCCAAGCGCTCTCACATGCAGACACACACTTACGTACTATGAGCATGCTTGTTAAAAAGGATCAACTTTAACTTCTACAAAACACCATTTTTTTTCAGACTACATCAAGCCTGCAAATGTTTCTTTTCACCATCAACATGAGCTTGTCAGGGGGTTTGATTTTTGGTTACCTTTGGAGACAGTGGCAGAAACAACAAGTACAGAGAAGCGAAGGATGAAAGGACTGAAGGACGGATGACTACAACTTGGAGATACACTGCGCTGGGAGGCTCTTGAAGACTGATCTCTCGTCAGCTCTCTCACTTTCAGAAGCTAAGACAGAGGCGAAGAACTCTGGTAGGTAGGTAGGGGGGTCTGGTAGGTAGGTAATGGATTTAAAAATGCCGAACTGTGATCTGTGTGGGTCAGCCCTCTGGTACATCTGAAGGCTGGCTGGCTGGGTGACTCTAGTTGAGCAACTGTATGTGTGCACGGGCTGATCTCGTCTGAGCGTGTGCGTCGGTTGGAACAGACACCCATTCACTGTGGGGAGGGTTCGGTCGGTAGGTCGACCTCTTTCTCGCTGTCTAACACCAGATGCAGGCGAAGGCTGATCTCAGGTCAGCGCTTAGTCAACCTCCCGCAGGACGTACACACCGCCAGCTGGCAGACCCTGGGCCTGGGATCAGCTGCGGTGTCAGTGCAGTGCTCAGCTCCCACCACACGCTTTAAAGAAAATATGAAAAATAAACAAACTGTGCTGCAAAGATGCTTACCGCAAGTCACACCTACGGCGTCGCTTTGTCTGATCTCTGCTAGTAGCTGTTTTTACTTTTTTCCTCTTTTGATAGAGCCAGATTCAGTAAATTTTAAGAAAGAATAAAAACATTAAATTCTTTGTTTAACACTTGTCAATCCAGTAAATTTTTAAAAAGTAATAATTCTGTCAGCTTAAGATAAATTTAGACCAAGGTACATCAGTGAGGAAAATATCAAAGGAAAGGCAAGAGCAGAGGTAGTCTTTCATGTGCTTTCTTTTCAGGGTAAAGGCCTGATTAAGAGCCAAGCTGCAAAGCGCTGACAATACAGAGCCATCAAGAGCTGAAAAAGAGAGCACAGGAAAGAGATCCAGTCATTCCTCTAGGTATACCTCCCTAGACCAGACAGAGGGCCGGGATCCCTGTCCTAAACCCCACCCACTCCACTGCTGGCAGCGGAGGCAGAAGATCTCTCTGTGCTGAAGAGGCTGACGGATCTCGGAGGTCGTCCATCTCGTCATCCCGCCATCCCGTGGTGGTCGGCTGACAGCAGCATGCCGCTTCCAGTTGGAAGGAGGGTCTATTTAATTCCCTGCCTTACTCTGGCTAAGGTGGAAAAACTTAACTGACCCTCAGCAGGAACGCAAGATATCTAAAATCTGTTATTCTTGATCTAAAACTTAGATTATGTTTTGGTTTAAAGAAGAAAAAAAAAGACTAAGCATCAGAAACTCAAACTGTCTACACCCTGTCCAAGTGAGAGAGAACATCTAGACCGAGGGCTTACCTGTTCCTCTTGTGGTTAGCAGACTGAGAACGTGACCGGGATCTGGACACAGAGCGCCCTCTGGGAGCAGAACCGGACCGAGAACGAGACCTGGAACGACTGATTAAAGACAGAAAATATTTTAGACACCTTCAGATGATAAAGACGATCTTATATCTGCAGACACATGTAAATGTGACTGCAGAGCTGCATTTCCCTGCTCAGCTGAGTTCTGTTAAACACTTCAAGAAGTTCAACTCATCTTGCAAGCCTGTTATAATTAAGGATAGGCATCTGTCAAACCAGAACACTATTCGATCCTCACTCTAAACCATTCCTCTAGTCTTTGAAGATCGCTCCCACCTAACGGCCATTAAATTTCTGCCCAGTCGTGGCACACCCGAGACATGCTCCCTTCACCCGGCAGAGTCTTTACTGAGCCTCACCTTCGTTTCTCACTCACACACACACCTTTGAAGGTTTTTCCTGCTGCATGCCATTCTTAATTGCTCCTTGGGTCTTTCTGATTCTGATCTAAACTCACCACCTGTTACACACCAGGGCTGCAGTCGATTAGTTCTTAGGAAAGTTGGTAATTGAGAGAAGTGACCCTGAAGTATGTGCAGCCAAAACACCAGAGTGTCAAGTTCTCTAAATACTAAGGAAGGATGGAGGATGCTTGAAGACTTGTCCAATGTCATTTATTTATTTAGATATTACAGCCGCATTACTGCCACCTTTTGGCAGTAGTAGTGTGTTCCACTGTAACAGTAGCCAGTAAGCATCGACCAAGTCAACCATTTTTTAAATAATGTATTACTGAAGTGGCCATCACCATTAATAATGCTTGTTCATCACCACTACACCATCCATACATTAACATGAAAAGCACAGCGAGTCCATGTTACCACTGAAAAAAGTGATTTACAGGGAAGAACCGAGTGACATGCAAATGTAATTTCTCATGTAGCAGCGGTCAGAGCACAGCATCAGAGCAACAAACAAATTCACTGCGTCGCTCTAACAGTGAGTTTGGGATAAGAATAGCTGTGGACAACTCACCTTCTGGCTGGAGTCCTGGACTTTGAGCGGGCAGGGGATCCAGACCTGATGTCACAAAACAAAAAGCAGCGATTTCAATAAAACTTTGGAGAACAGCAGGAACACCCAGTAAGTACTCTCCAACTTGTTTCTTAAAGAGGTTTCAGTATCACAGACAAATGTCCATATGCTACAATAACCACACTTTGTAACCAGTTTTAACGACACGCCCATCATCAGTGTTTGATGTAAGATGGTCATAAAACTTTGTGTTTAACACTTTTAGAAGTGTTTTTAAATTTCCCCAGGTTTAAAATGTTTGAGAAACAAACAGCCAAAACATAACAGGATGTTAAGCACGATTACAGAAGACGTTTGGCTCAACTCTCTGTGGACTACCTGTGTTTTGTGCACGGTGACCAAGGAAACCCTGTAATGTGATCTGCTTTCAGTGATGCACACCACTCGCCCTACAACTGTGCAGGTCTCCTGAGGCTGCTGCCTGCGGCTCTCCTCACTGCGGCACTTTTTTCCTGCAGCAGAGGCAGACCCAGGCTACTCGGGTCTAACACCTAGTTCATGCTGGCTGCCGCCGTTTTGTCTCTTGCAAAGGGTGTTGTGTTTTGGTGTCGTTTTGCTTGCTTATGCACCTCATGATCTTTGTAACCTGGTGCATGAGGCGTGGCCAGGTTGATGACATGAATGTCACCTCCATTTCAATATCAGTCCAAGGGCTCAGATGAGCAAATTATACAAAGTGTGAGCTGGAAAAGTTGAGACTTTCTAGAGAAAACTGATGCTCAGAGAGTGAAGAAAACTTTGTCATTTCAAATATTTACTCCTATACCAGCTCTGATTCTGAGTTGTTTAGGATGTTTTCCTTATTTAAGTAGCAACAGCTACAAGAGAAGACTCCAGCAAATCCAGTAGACCTCAAGTGCCAGTATCTACAGCGACACGGCTACAGTCCTGTTACAGTTGGTGCATGCCTGTAAAACCAGCTTGTCCTGTCTCACACGTCTTTTTAATTGTTTTTATTGAGTCTTTACCTTTACATTTAAAGATTAAGTAAATGCCATGCTAAAAGACTTGTTTAGAAATGTAAGAAATACATGATGTTTAAGTTTTTTAAGGTAAGTTGGGCTAAAATATTAAGATTTCAATAATGACCAAAAGAGTTTTATTTTAAATAATTGAAGGCTTAACAGTTGACACAACTTTAGTTGCATAGTAGGCATCTGTTGTTATAGACCAACTTTAAGTCAGTTTCAGCCTCTGAGAAACTGAATTAGCAGCAGCTACTCATCTTCACTCATCATAGGAAACTGTATTCTTACCTGCTCCTGCGTCTGGAATAGGATGGCGATCTGCGTCGGCTCCTAAAAAACATAAATAAATAAAAGTTTGCACAACAGAGTTGGCAGAATAAACACCAGAAAAATTACACAGCTTAAGAGATTGCAATAACCACACGCCGACACAGTGATGAGCACATTTAGTCGTTGGCCTTTCCAAATCTACCACAACCAGATTTTCTTGTTGACATATCACAAGGTGTGTCTGTGCGTCAGTGTCGGCGTACCTGCTGCGGCTGCGGGAGCGGGAGCGAGAGCGGTAGCGGCGCCCGCGGGACCTTGATCTGGAGCGGGATCGCGATCGAGAGCGAGACCTGCAATGAAAAATAAGAAACGAGTCCATCTGCATTAGTCATCCATAACATGGCACTGGTTTTATAATGGTACAAAATGGCAAACGAGCTACATGAGCCTTCAAATGAAACATGCTTTCACTTCACCTGCTGCGACGGCCTCGCTTGCTAAAGCGGTAGCAGTCATAGGCGTAGTGACCCCTGTCCCCGCACTGGTAACACCGATCGTTGGGGTCGAACTGGCGACGGCTTGGCCGCCCACGGCCCTTTCTGGAGAGGCCTGTTGACATCTCCACACGAACACGGGAACCACAGAGGATCCTGAGCAGAACAAATCAGTTTTTCCACTGTTAAGCACAGAATAATTAAAGAAAAAAAAGAAAGAAAAGAAACACCCTGTACGTGAGACACACGAGACCAGTCCAAGGAAAACATTTACTCACTTTCCGTCCATGCCTTTGACAGCATCTTCTGCATCTCTGGGATCCTCAAACTCCACAAAGGCAAACCCAGGAGGGTTCCTGGCCACCCACACACTTCTCAGTGGGCCGTAATAACTGAAGGCTCGCTCCAGCTCCCCCTTTGCAGCGCCATTGCCCAGGTCACCGACGTACACTTTACAGTCAGTGGCCCGAGACGAGCTACGGGAGGATGAGTAGTAGGACATTTTTTCTCACCTGCAGGGAGATGGTAAATATATTTAAGACGGGGATCATAGTGAGAAGAATACATTTTTATAAAAAACGTCACCTTACATTTGGGAAATAAGATTAAATGGAGTAAACTGTTGTGTCCCATCAAATTTACTCAGATTTAACTTTTTAAAAATTTTATATAGGAAAGGCTGAAATTTCTAGAATATGCTCGTTTTCTGCCAGATGTTACAGTTAGTGCATGACTGCTGCGTGGAAGTGTGTCAGAATCTTTCTTTCTTTTAAACTTCAGGTTACTCAGAGCAGCCGGAGCACAATAGCTCAACTTTTCATTGACAAATTGTATGTAATTTGTATAGTATTTTTTCTCTCTCTTATTTTCTTTTCTAAATGTACTTGTATATTGTTCACATGTTGAAATAAATTACCAATCAATCAATCAATCAAAGTCAATGAAATTGAAGGACTTAATGGCAGATTTTCAACAACCGTATTCATGTGAGTGACACAAGGTGAAATATCCCTTTGTGCTTCATGTGAATGCATCATTAAATCCTCAGGTGTGGTCCTCCTGCCCTTTCCAAAAATTTACACTTAAATCTAAAGGTGAGCTTTTACCACTGGCTTTATAATTACCTACATGTAGAGATCAGGTTTCCTGAATTAGCGACCGTGTTTTGTGTCTCCTACTATCTGGGTTGTACCTAATGCTTATCTAGTTTGGTTAATATTGCATACATAAAGACAGTTGGAAAAGTGATTATAAACCCATGACCCTTACAGCAAGGGGGACCTGGTAGCTCTGGTATATTTTGCTGGCATGGTTTGGAACTATAGAAAGGGTCCCTGCAGATACTTGAATCAACCAGCTGTATCTAAACGGGGGGGGAGACTATATTGCAGAACACCAAGGCTGTTTGAAGGAACAGTGAGATGTTAAAGTGCCATAATTGATCTGCAATTTTACAGCGTGCCAGAAACATCCTACACCTTTAAACAAAGATCTAAGGCTGTGCGATATGACCAAAATCTCATATCCCGATATAAGACATCTATCGTCCCGATACCGATATAAAAATCACAAAAATTTTACATTTTCTGTACATTCTGAGAATCGCGGGCAGCTCGACTTGCGTAAAGTGTTTCCAGCTGGGCGTCGTGCACCTGGAGTCGACCGAAGCATGAAACTACACATTTTTAGACATAAGTTGTAACAGCCGCCGTTTTCTTTGTGAGTATTTATTACACGGCGTGCTGCGGGGCAAGGCCTGTTCTAACGTTTGAGTCTAAGGTCTATTTTTTAGCACCTGGCGGCTCTTTTTTGCTTCTCATTCGTAAACACTCTGTATTTTGAAAGGTCTCAACAGGATCTTGAGCTTTATTGTGAAAGGTTTATGTAGAAGATAAACAAGCGGACACGTGATGGTTTTACCGTTGTTGTTGCTAACGACAACGCATAAAAACAGTCGCTTGTCTGTCTGTAGTGTGGTTATATTAAATATAAGAGAAAGAGAGAACTTTAAGAAATGAATATAGCCACTACAGTGACCATCAAAACCATGAAAAAAATATTGCTGTAAACAGTTTATTTTGCGACACCAACGATAGCGTAAAATGAAACGACAGACATTTTTATATCGTTATCCGATATATATCGTTATATCGAACAGCCCTACAAAGATCAATCACCTCCTTTTAATTTTAAAGTCAAATTCAGCCATTTCTGATTCAAACATATTCCCGGTGTATCCTGTAACCCTGGCAACTGACCACATGTGTGAAATTAAACCTGTCATCAAGCTCTGCAGAAGTACTTCCCACATCACCATTTTTAAAAATGTTTAATGCAGTGGGCCCTCATGTGGTTGGCCTGACACTGTTCCACCTAGTTTAAACATGCCATTGTTCCACTCTGGCTGAAAACAAATGTAGCCAGGACCAATCTTTACCGCCTTATTTCCCACAGATTTTAGAAAAGGTTAGAGCTGAGCAGGATTTCCCTTTTCTGGAAAGGTAGAAAAAGTCAGTGACACTTTGATGGGCTCAGGAGCAAATTATACTATAGAAGTTTTGATACTGTACAAGTAAGTAATATCAAGTGGTCGGTGTGTTCAATTGGTGTCCTGCAGACAGTTATCTTGTCACCATTTCTTGGAGAAAAGGACAGATAATTGCTCATTTTAAAAACATTTGCCATCTATATCCAGTGACATGCATCTGTCCCGTTCTCGCTGACCTAAGGAGCTCTCCACACTTGGTTAAATGCCAATTTCCTAAAGTTAAATTCTAACAAAACAGAAACTCTTATCACTGCTCCAGATATTTCCACCCCAAGAATCGTAGCCTTGGTTTCCAGGTGCTTGTGTTCTAATCTACAACTACTACTCGTTAAGATGTGTTATTTTTAAGATGGAAATGATGCAAACTGTTAATGCTTTTACATTTTTTTGTAAATTTTAAAGCTTTGAAAAGCAAAGCACCCAGTATATTAATGCCTCTTACTCGTTTAAAAACGCAGAGATAAGAAATTTGGCATACTGGCTACATAAAGGCTTTCTTTTATTGATTCCGAGGTGGGTTAAAAACTGCTTAAAAAAATCCTATTGACACAGCCATTGGGGTGATTGTGTGTCCGACTTGGGTTGATCATGTCCGTTTCATTGTTTCGTTTCGTCTTCTTTTGTATCAGGTACTTAAAAGATAACCTTTATCCATCAATGCTTTTACAAAGGTCATCTTTCACACGCAGGTACGACGCTAGTCATTTATTAACCGGACCAGTAGCTTTTTGAAGTTCACTACATCTATATATCTGATAACGGCCAGACCCCGAGGCCCTCCGATCTGGTTGGATTAAACTATATTCGCTGATCGATCTGTGTAATTCACCGGCGTCTTATACAATACGATCGTTTGTCTCCCGCGTATTTTTAAGCGAACACCGCTGGGTATCCGTTCAGGAAACCGGCGCTAACCTCCGTGTGCGTCTCACAGACGGAAGGCCACGCCACTTCCAGTTCAACAACACAATTTTAAACACCAACTTTATGCACGCAAATAAGCTAATCGGCTACAAGTAAAACAGAAAAAGCAGCTCTTGTTGAGTTTGCTGCATACGTGCGAGCAGTTATTTTCGGAATTACTCGAGGCCATGGTCCGCGCTTGCCTATAAACAATGGCGGTAGCACGCGTTAGCCCGATCTTACCTTCGTCCGATGATTTCTGATTCCGCTCCTAAGACGAACTTCAGCCGCGTCAAACTGAAGCCAGACGTCGTATCGTCACAGTTCAATTTGATTTCTGCGATTTAAACTGTTTACAAAGCCAAACAGACGATCATCAGGGGCGCTTCCACATGGCTCTGCCGCAAGATGAGCGGCTACAAAAGCAAAAGAAACCAACCACCACTGCAAAGCGACTACCGCAGCTGCGCACTGTGACTTCAACAGCGAAGCCGGAAACGTCCGGTGAATATTTTCAAAATAAAACGACCAAAATGAAGAATTACCACAGCAAGAACTTCCCACTTTAAGTCCCAAAGCAGAAAAGCTGATGTACTTATAACTGCTACATTTCCTAATGACTACAACAATTGGCTCCACATTAGCTAAGCACGTGTATGGTTTCACAAGTAGTCAGTATATCTCTAATATGATCTTGTAGTTTTGCTTGCACTTCCTTGATTTAGTTTAATTTTAACCCTGAATTTTCCAAAGCGCCCGCTGATGCAAACCTCTGGACTCACAGATCGTTTGTCTACTTTAAACAAACACACAAACAAAAATTTTAAAATGTACTGCTGATATAATATGAGGATATGCCATATCCTTATTTATACCTACTGTCAAATTTTTGGAAACAAATTGTTTTAAAGATTATGAATAATAACATTGACAGTAACTAAACCTCTCCATATTAAATTTAACTCACAGTTAATCTTAATGGTAGAGCACGACACTAAAAACAGTAGGCTCATCAAAAGCATGATAAAGCTTTCTTTTTGAAATTTAAACATAAAACCTCCTGTTGAGACAAACAGTTTTAATTTTATTCAAAAACAAACAAAAACAATGTTGTAAATTGATGTTTGTTTTTTAATGTCCCCTTGTGCTGATGTAACAGATCAACTTTAATAGACAAGCTGTGCAGATACTGTCTTTATTGTATCAGTAAATGCATCCCTGATATAAAAGACATGTTCATTTCCTAACCATGTGGTGGAAACTCAAGAGATTTCAAACTTATTTTACATTGTGGGCCATTTACAGCCAATGTTGGTCTTAAGTAAGCTGGACCATTGAAACTAGCCTGTGACTCAGAAGCTTAACTGCACATTCAATCTTCAGGATATCTTCATGTAAGAAAAAAAAAAGTGCAATTTCCACACTGTGCTCATTTTTTCTGCATTATGAAGAAATGCTGGTGCAGTTATTGAAAATCATTCAGCAACTCTGGTCTTAAATTGTCAGAAATAAATGTATAAATTATATTATTCTGGTAGCTCACTGACCAAACTCACTGAATTAAATTAAGCTCCTAGGACCTGGCATCCACATTTGGGCACATCACATTTTAGGTTGTCTAGACAACAATACAAAATTTTGCTCTTTCAAATGGCTTTCAAATAAGCCATATTGCTCAATTGTTTTTATACTCAGGAAAAAATGTTGCTGTGTTCGAGTTTTGCACATCATTACTCAATTGTGGCTTTATAGGGTTCGATAGAACCCTATAAAGCCAAACAGCAAAGTGAAATTAAAAT